CAGGATACATATGATTCAGACTTGGCTCCTGATTTTTAGCCTCTCCATTCTCTGCTGGTTAAGTCTCTAACTTCTCGGTTAGATACTTTGGCCTACTTTCCCTTTTGCTTTTTGCTTTTCCCTTTTGCTCGCACTTTTTTGTATGAAGATTTCTCTTTTCCTGTGTCTTTTTGGGCTTCCTTTCCGCTTTTGCTGGACCAGGTTTATCTGACATCCTAGGGGATCCCTGGGCTCCTCCTTGGCATTCTCCTCTGCCAAGTGACCTTGCTCGTGGGCACAAAGTGGGTGGGGCGGTGGCGTGACTCCCTGGCGTCCCAACAGCCTACGAGAAGCTGCACTGCCCTCCCTTCCCCTGCACCTCTCCTCTCATTCCCAAACCCCGCCTCCCCCTTCCCGCACCCCCGCACCACCCCCCCCCCACTGCTGGAACCCGCTGAAGTTAAAGGATTTTATATGTTATAGAGGCAGGTATTGCTACCTTTTAAAACTAGACGTTCGTTCTCAAACTGGATGTAAATGCCCTTGTAAGTGTCCTTGTAAACAGAAGAATATTTTTCAAGTGTTGCAACTGAGGCTTAAACGTTAGGTAATTTGCTCAAGTGGCAGAGCTAGAACAGGAATCTAAGTTCCCTGACTTAAAAGCGCATGCTTTTCACAAGCATCATACTTAAAGTGCTTAAGTCCTTGACAAACCTCTAAGCTCTCAGGGACTATAAAAAGCATTAAAGGAAAAGCGCTACTGGTTCTCTTAGAAGCAGGCAATGATTCATTCATACTCCAAACAGTGTCCGTATGTTTGCTATACCCAGGCTGTCCGGTTTTCGCATTCTACTCCTACAATGGGGGACAAATTGTGTGGTTCTGTAGCTGCTGTTTTTTTCTTCAATGACCCAACCCTAGGGCACTAAGAGGAGTTTAAGCACCTCTTGCCCTGCAAGCACAGCACCTCATGCCCTGGCTGTAGATCCTAATACCCTTAAACAATTGAACTGGGATTCTCAGGACTTTTACTGATAAGAGAAGAGAGGCTTGTGGAAATTATTTGCCATGCTATCACAGCCAGTAAATAGTAAGACTGGGAATTGGGGTTAAATATTTAAACTACTTTCAGACCCTAGATCACAAAAGGAATACAATGTATCTAAACTTTTCAGGGAGACTTTTTTTGTAGACACAGCAGAACCTGAGGCTTATTGACTTGTTCCTACTTCTTGATGAATAAACTGCCTTGTGATTAGCCATTGAATTTAAGCCTAGTTCTCATTTCTTTTTTTTTTTAACATTTATTTATTTATTTATTTATTTATTTTTGTGGGACCCTCGCCGGTGGTCGGGGATCGAACTGGCGCTGCAGAGGCTGCGGGCAGCCTCGCAACCCAGCGCTCAACTGCTGCACCACCAGGGGAGACCCATCATTTCTTTAGTCCTAATTCACTAATCAGTGAATAAAATTTCATTCCTTTGTTATCAATCCTAGTCCTTAAAAACCTATACAACATCATCATTCCGTTTCTTAGCCAGCAGGAAGGTAGATCTGAGGTTGCTTCCTACTTCCTGGCCAATAAAGCTGCTTTCTAGTCTCAATCCCTGCTGTCCTAGAAATCAGTCCCAGTGCATATCAGGTAGCACGCCCCATTGCTTGTAACAGTCTTAACGCTAAAGGTAAACAAAACAAATATTGATACTTGCCTAGAAGAAATTAACAATAAAATTCACTATTAGAGCATTTTTAGATTCCCCCCCCCCGAATTTTAACTGGGCAAAGTGTAGGTTATTAAGGAATAACCTAAAAAAAGTATTTGGCCAAAGGTAAACTGTAACTCAGTGCCCAGAGCAAGTTAAAGAAAATATAATTATGTGTACCCTTAAGATTTGAGTTTTGTGTTTACTCTTCTGTTAAAACCTGGGATGTAACTTGTCTATAAATAAATTAATAAGGTAGTAAAAATTATTTTATATGACCAGCTTAGCTCCTCTGTAGCTATCCTATCAGGAAGTAGGATAAACAGATATGGACTGTAAATATAGATTGGGATACTCTTTAAGGAAATTCTGATGAGAAAGAAAGAATGACAAATGATAAACACAAGATAACATCAGGGTTCCTCATCTCTTCCAAATCTTGCCCTCTCACATGTCAAAAGGATTCTTCTTAAGAACTAAATTTGGGGGGCCTCCCTGGTGGCGCAAGGGATTAGGACGCAAACTACGAAGCTATCTGCAGCCACTGCAGCACATTTTGAGGAGGTGCAACATGAAACAAAGGCATAGTAGGTACTCAATGAATACTGTAAAATCAGTGCATCTAATTAATTCAAGAATCACTCACCAAACATTTACTGAGTACCTATAAATGTGAGGCCTAGATGCTAAATATGAAAACAGATAAACTCCTTGCCTTCATATCATCAAACTACATAAAGCTAGTTGTGTTGCTTTTCTATTGCTGCTGAAACAATATACCACACATTTAGTGACTTCAAGCTACTCAAGACCTCCCTGGTGGTGCAAAGGGGTTAAGACACAGTACTGTGAAGATACCCGCAGCCTCTGCAGCACCAGTTTGATCCCTGGCCAGGGAGGTGACCCATATGGCACAACAGACCTCTTCTGACTCGCCCGCTGCGCCCCTCAGCAGTGTATTTCAGTCAGTCTGCCTTTTCTGTTCCCCACTCTGTCTCTGGTGAATCCGCTCACCCCCACACCTCTGGTCTGTACCCCAGTTCTTGTTTGCATAAATAAATCTTTAAAATAAATAAATACCAAGGAGTGCAACTGTTTGATTGGTAGATTTTCTCAGTATCGAAGGGCAAATAAGTGTTTGGGAGGATAGGGTGAAGGGAATAACGAACAAGAGCACTGAAATAGGAAAAGACACACAGTATTTGGGGAACTATAATATGGATGGTAAAGAGTAAGGGGCAAGTGGTGAAATAAAGACTGGAAAGTTGGCAGGGTCTGATCCTATCATGCCTTGCATTTTATTCAGTAGAGATGAAGTGCCAGCAGAAACATTTTATTCGGGAAAACACATGATTGGACTTGTGCTTTAGAAAGACAGCGGAGGCTGCACAGAAGAGAATGACTGGGTCACAGGTCAAGGCTGGAAAGTCAGATTAGATAAGATTAGTTGTAAAGATTAAAGCCTCAACTAAAGCAGTGGAAACAGCAACGTACAACAGTGGAAAGATTTGAGAGATTTTGCAGTGAGAATCATCAGACTTCATTTCTGATTAAAGGTATGAAGGTGGGCACAGGAGGGAAGGGGAGGACAGGGCAAAGAAGGAGGAGGACTTTGAAAATTTCCAACACAGGAAGAAAATCTGGATAGTTGATAACGTCCCACTAAACCAGGAAATAAAGAAAAACAAGGGGAGAATGAATGGTGACAAAGACTTTCTCTCTTTGATCAACCTTTAATTAGATTTCAATAAGCATAGTCTCCCCTAAAATCTGCCTGCACCCTCTCTGTGACATACCAACTCAAGTTTTAGCAAAAATTCTGCTTAGTCAGTGTAGATGGCATTTTTCCCTAAACTAATTTTCCATCCACTCACTCCTCTCGCTGGGCTATACATCCCCAGCAGTCTTTATTGTAATCCAAGTTGAGTCCACATTCTCTTTCCTGTTGTCTTAACAGTGAAGGCAAAAGTCCTGAATAAAGTATTCTCTATTGTTTTAACAAATGGTAATGGTGATGTTTATTACCACTGGTAATGGCAATGTTTCAACAATTTTTTTAAAATTTAACAATGGAGAGGAAATCTCTGAAGAATTAAAATAAAATTACTTCCATACTCTTTTAACATTTAATTTCTGTGTGCATCTTTTAACTATCATGTAGTTTAATAACACTTCTTTATACACTGCAGAGGTCTACTGGACATTATGATGTGCACAATCCAGTCATTTGTGCCCCCCCAAATCTAACAAGCTGGCTCCTTCACCACAATTTTAAAAAAGTGTTAGTTTAACACCTAATATGTTTGGCAGCTCATAAAATTCCCTTCCTTAAAGACTTTTACAAGAATCTTAGAGGGGAATAAAACATTAACACCTGCAAGAGTTGAGCCTAGATATAAAAGAAGCTAAAAGTCTTGGTAAAAATTTGAGGTAAAGACTACTTTTCTATGTTTCCCAACCTCAACTTATTGCAAGGTCACTTCAAGAACAGAGAGAAAGTTGTAACATGAAAATGCTGGAGACATGTAACGAGCATGGCTATGTTCTAAAAAACTTTTTTAATGAACACTGAAACATTAATTTCACATCACTGTCATTTGTCCCAAAACATTTTTATTCTTTTAACCATTGAAAAAAATATAAAAACTGTTCTCACCTCTCTGATGCACAGAAACAGGCAGTGGGGCTGAATTTGTCCCTAAGGGTTATAGTTTGTGACCTAGTATGCACATAATGTCAGATTTTTTTTAAGTGTTTTTAGTGTGGGAGCTTTGTGGGGCATTGTATGCTAACTTCCCAGGTTAACTTTTAATACAATAATAGACTTCAAAGTACCTGCCCAGGGATGCTAACAGCAGTGGGAGAGCGAGGCCCGGCGAGCTCACCATCCATCAAGGCAGATAGTGCAGGCCCCAGTTCCCAGGACTGGCCAGAGCACGGACAGGGCCTTTCCGGACGTGAGCCAGAGACCTCAGCTCCGCGTCCAGGGAACACCGGCCCGCACACAACGCCCACAACAAAAGCAACCCCCAGGGCAACCCAGCCCCGCCTCTCGGCGCCGGCCCGCGCATGCGCGCCCGCACGTCTGGCCGGGCCCTGTCACGCTCTTTTGCGCATGTCTGGGGAGGAGCCCGCGCCGCGAAGGACACCGGGCTGGGGTCGGCGCGGGTCGGAGCTCCGCCCCCGCGGGCGGGTAGACGCGACGGCGCGTGCGTCACTTCCCCTGGGGCGGGCCGGAGTCGGGGTGGGGGTGTCGGCGCCCCGGCGCCAGCTCCTGTTTGTGTCGGCAGCTCAGCTGGCGCAGCGGCCCGAGCGGACGCGAAGAGGAGAGTCGCCGCCGCAGCCCGCATCCTGGTGAGTGGCGGCCGGGGCCGCGGGCGGGATGGGGGCTGGCGAGGGCTGCCCCTGGCTCACCCCGGGCGCCTGCTCGGCCCCCCTGGATTCTCTTCGGTGGGGCGCTTCCACCCTGAGAGGGCGGACAGACGCCCGCTTGGAGGAGGTCCGGGGTCCAGGCTCCCGAGGGCGACCCGGCAGCGGAGGGCGCCCGCCGCGCGCGGGGGTTCGCTGGCCCCGGCGCGCACTGTTTTGGTTTCTCGGGTCCCGCCCCGCGGGTCCCGTCCCGCCCCCTGGACTCCCAGCCCGGTGGCCCGGAGTCAGTTTGGCTCCCCTGGGACTGTAGGGTTCTCTGGCGGTTCACTGGTGAATGTCAAAACGGTTTCCGTGTTCGACATCATTCTCGACTGCCAGGGGGCCTGGTCGTCCGGCAGCTTGGTCTTCTTATTTATCAGCCATTTCTTTTTTTTCCCCTTCCCCCGTTTGACTCTGTCCCCGACTGCTGCTGTTGAGTGGGCTCAGGTGAGTGCCTTTGCTAAGGTGGAGCTGTGTTAACCATTGGGTTGCAGGGTTCCTGCACCTGGCCTTGCTGGGAGGAACCTGCTTTCTATGTTGCAGTGGGAGCTTGAAGGAAAAGTGGCGACTCGTAGGAAAAATTTAGAAGAAATTTGACTAAAGGAATTAACCTCTTGTGCTATGTGAAGTAGTGTTTTTCCTTCCAGTTACTTTTGCATCCTGGTGCTGCAGTCCTAATTGTTGAGATTTCAGAAATATGTGTTAGTGTTTGGAGAAACTGCTTCTAGGAACGGGGAAATATCACGTATTGAAAAATCCTAGAATTAAAAAAAATTATATTAAACGGAACTGAGTGTTGACTTTTATGAGGCTGTTGTTTCAAGCCCATTGTAGTTACTTTGATAAATTGCTTCTACAAATTAGTTGAGTTTTCAGCATAAGAATATGTTATTTCATAATTTTTATTACTCAGACTTTTCCCTAAAGTTAATCTTGCTTTTCTGTCTCAGTTCTAAATGAAAATCTTCAAAGCAGCATCTTCTTTGTGCAGTGATGTTGGGTGAAAGGATTACTTTCACTAGTTTACAAAGTTGATAAAAGTACAGTTTGTACTTTGAGTTGTTTTTCTCCTCAGTAATGACAGGAATTGTGCTAAGGGTACACATTGCTTCATGTGTGGAACATATATTCGTGAGAAAGTAAGAGTTAGAATTCTTAACTATAGGCACCGTTCTGTTTTGAAATGTCTTTTTTCTTTTTCCTGTGTCTTGCGTTTTATTTTATTCATTATCCATTCGTTTTTAAGATGTGTTCTTGCTTTGGTTCATGTTGCCCTGATGTAATCAGGATATCTTTCATCTGTATTTATGTTTTTTTTCTTTGGAAATCTCTCTTTTCTGAACTCTGGATGGCAAGTCACGTTCGAACTTTGTTTTCTCAAAACCAGAGTTAAAAACTTTGAAATCCAAGGAATACTTTGGTAGTTCCTGAATATCCTGAAATGTCCTGGAAAATGGTGGGGGTGGGGTGTGTGTGTGTGTGTGTGTGTGTGTGCGTGTGTGCGTGTGTATTTGCAAATAGGCATTTTTCAGAGAGGAGCTTTTATCATTTTGTGATGCCAAAACATACTTGTAAAGCTTCCTCTGGCAAATTCAGTCTTTCATGTATATCACTTATTTATTTATTTATTTATTTATTTATTTATTTATTTTTAAAGATTTATTTATTTATACAAGCACTGGCTACAGTCAGAAGTGTGGGAGGGTGAGAGAATTCACCAGAGCTGGGAACAGAACAGGTAGACTGAGAAAGTGCACTGCTGAGGGGAGCAGCGGGTGCAGCAGGAGCGCGCCATGTGGGACCCTCACTGGTGGCCAGGGATCGAACCTAGGCTGCGGGCAGCTTCGCAGCCCAGCGCTCAACCACTGCGCCACTGGGGAGGCCCCACTTATTTATTTCTTAATAGATTGTCTCATTCTCCAAGACCTAGAAGACTTCAGGTATGAGGTTTTTGCTTTGTTGTCAACATATTATCCCATTTTTATCCTTGCTTAATGCTTTTACCTTAAATATCCATTACTTCATTAGCCTGGTCTATATTTGTCCCTATTCCTTTATTTCTAGCTGTTCTTTGTCCCAGTGTTATAGGTGTATCTAATATGGCAAGTAACTAGTATGCAGCTGGAGTATTCATTTCTACAATTTTGGTGTCCTTGTTCACTCTTTTGTTTTTTATTTTGCTTGCTTCTTTTTTGTCCCTTTTGTTGTATCCTTGAACATCTGAAACTTTGTCTTTATGTTTTTTCCTACTATTTCTAAATTCTGATGACACATTTTCCTTTTGGCTGTTTTGCTGGTGTTCACTTAAGGTGATGGTCCATTTCCTTGCATGTTTTTCAGTCTTTTGCTGTGAATTAATCTTCAGTGGTGGTTGTATAGTGTGGGAGTGCCACTTGCTGAGAACTTTGGAAGTGTCCTTACGTGGTAGGTTCAGTTGACTGTGCCAGGGCCCCAGGGATTCACCAGCTCTGACCAGTTTTCATTTGCTTAGAGTGTATGCATCATCAAGGTAATGTGACTCCAGATCCAGGCCTGTGATTTCTCTTGAAATTGTAGATTCCCCACTATTATTTTTTCATTATTTGGTAAAAATCATTATACATTTACCATCTTACCCATTTTTGAGTGTCTAATCCAGCGGTATTAAGTACATTCCAGTAGTTGTAAAACAAACTTCCAATACTTTTTCATCTTTTAGAACTGAAACTCTGTACCCATTAAACAACTTTTCTTTTCCTGTTTCCCCCAGCTTCCTATCACTACCTTTCTATTTTCTATTTTTATGCATTTGACTACTGTAGATATCTCATAAGTAGATTTACAAAGTATTTGTTTTTAAATACTTCTTTTCAAATAATGTCCTTAGGGGTCATCCATGTTGTAGTATGTGACAGGATTTTCTTCTTTTTTTGAGGCTGCATAATACTCTATTATGTATTTTAGTTACCAGATTTTGTTTATTTATCTATCCATGAATGTTTGGTTTGCTTCACCCTCTGTTACTGTGATTAGTGCTACTACGAACATGGATGTGTAAATATCTCTTTGAGACCCTGTTTTCCGTTCCTTTGAATATAATCCCAGAATTTGGATTGCTGCATTATATGATAGCTCTATTTTTAAATTTTTTAGGAACCACTATACTATTTTCTCTAGCAGCCACACCATCACCATTGTGTATTCACCAGTGGTGCTCATAGGTTCCATCTTCTCTGCCAACACTTGTTACTTTCTGTTTTTTTTTTTTTTTTTTTTTAATAGAGGCATGCTTTATTTATTTGTTTGCTGGTTTGTTTGTTTGTTTTGTTTATACATGCACTGGGTACAGTCAGAAGCGCGGGAGGGTGAGAGAATTCACCAGAGTCAGAGCGGGGAGCAGAGCAGGCAGAAGGACCGAAGCACACTGCTGAGGGGAGCAGCGGGCACAACAGGAGAGGTCTGCGCGCCATGTGGGATCCTCCTCTGGTGGCCGGGGAGCAGCCGGGGATCGAACCTGCGCCGCAGAGGCCGCGGGCAGCTTCGCAACCCAGCGCTCAACCGCTGCGCCACTGGGGAGGCCCTACTTTCTGTTTTTTTGTTATAGCCTGCTGAGTGTGAATTAGGTATCTCACTATGGTTTTGATTTTCATTTCCCTGAAGCTTGGTGATGCTGAGCACCTTCTCATATATCTGATAGTCATTGGCTTGTCTTCTTGGGAGAGAGATCTGTTCAGGTCTTTTGCCCATTTTTTAAACAGGCTATTTGACTTTTTTTTGTTGAGTTGTAGGAGTCTACTATTAGTTTTGAGTATGACTTTTTATCTCCATGTACTTTAACTGTATTTGATCAAGTATTCCCATGTGTTGGGAGTTGCAGGGCTTTTATGTTAATTCAGTTTATTATATTGACTGCAAGTCATGAGGCATTCAGAAGACCTAATAAAAAACAGATAGGTTTGTTTCTTTTGTCATCTCCCCTCTGTCCATTTGGGAATTTTATAATAATAGTGTACATGCAGTTTGGAAAGATTTTAATTCAGACTATCCTCTTCTAGACAATCACAATAGGTTCTTGGTTTCTGTCTCAATCTTGTTCCATACTACATGCTGTCAGAGATCTGCTGGAATTAGTCTTTCTAATGTCATTGCTGTACTTAAAATATATATGTCACTGACATTTGATTTTTAGTGGCCTTTATAAGGTTTCTGAAACCCTTTATAATCTGGCTCAAATTGTTTTTGCAGTTCATCTATTTCTCCCTCATTACTCTCCCCAGGTGTTACAAAGAAACTAGACTGCTTGTAATTTTTGCTCATAGTGTGTATGCTTTCTTCCATGTTTCTTTCCTGTTTGCTTGTGGTCATTTGCCCCATTATTAGAATTCTCTCTTTTCTTCTCATCTTTACCATATGATGAAGAATTACTTTTGAACTTTGCTCAGTTGTTTTTTTTTTAATTTATGCATATAAGAACTGGGGTGTAGGCCAGAGGTGCGTGTGTGTGTGTGTGTGAGAGAGAGAGAGAGAGAGAGAGAGAGAGAGAGAGAGAGAGAGAGAGGAGGATTCACTAGAGAGAGTAGGGAGCATTACATGTGGATCTACTGAAATACACTGCTAAGGGGAGCAGCAGCGGGTGTGACCGGATTGGTATGCTGTGCCTTGTGGGTTAGCTCCCCAGTTGAGGATCAAACTCTTGCTGCAGTGGCTGGTGATAGTTTGATAGCACTGAGACTTTAACCCCTGTATCACCAGGGATGCCCAAACTTTGCTCCATTTTTAGTGGCATTTTTCTGGCTTACTTTGATATTTACTTTCTTTTTGAGTCTTCTATTCACAAAGCACCATCTGATAGTGCTTTATTTTTTTTTATTATTATTATTTTTATTTATTATTTTTATTTTTTTGTGTGTGTGTGTGTGCGACCCTCACCGGTGGCCAGGGATCGAACTGGTGCTGCAGATGCTGCAGGCAGCCTCGCAACCCAGTGCTCAACCACTGCGCCACCACGGGAGGCCCTGTTAGTGTTTTAAATAGCACTGATTACCCAAGTAATTTCTAAATAATTCAGACAATAGAGAATTAAAAGGTAAAAACCCTTCTCGTTCTCTTTTGATCCCATACCTTAGGTCACAAGAGTTAATAAGCCCTTATATTAATCTTTTTATAACCTCTATCCTTTCCTCCATGTCCCCCCACCCCCGCCTGTATGTGTATGTATGCTTTTATAAAATACAGATTTAAGTTGCATATATAGGTTTTTGTTTTATTACATAATAAAAGATCTGTGTATCTTCATGTGTGTATATAGTATATAGTATATTTTCTGTATGAAGGCTATGTCAGTATTCACAGATCATCTGGTTTTCTTAAACTGCTGTACGTTATAATACACTAGTCCTTTGTGTGTGTGTGTGTGTGTGTGTGTGTGTGTGTATAATTTATTTTACCATCCCTTGCTAGAAACATTTAAGAGTTGTTTTCCAGTGTTTTGTTATTTCATGCAGTGTGCCAGGGGATATATGTATTCCTTTATACTCTAATGCAACTATTTCTGTAGGATAGGTTCACCACAGTGGAATTACTGATCCAAGACTGTGTGACTCTAAAATTTTGATAGCATTTAAATTTTAATTAGATACTGTCAAATGACCCTTTTTTGCACCATTTCCCCACTCCCTTATCAATACTGAATATTACCAGTCATTTAAATTTTACCAAGTAAGGAACAAAATATCATTTAATTAACATTGTTCTTTGATGAGGGAAGGATTTTTTTTTTTTATAATTTTACTGTTTGTATATATTCCTCTAGGACTGGTCTGTTTATGTCCTTTGCCTATGTTTCTACTGAGTTAGTCTTTCTTATTTATATGTGTTCTTTTATATTGTGATAATGAGCCCCTTATCTGTTAGATGTTGTACATATCCTCTTCTAGTCTGACTTCTTTTATTGAATAAACACTTGTTACTAGTGGTTATCTCTAAATTCGTTGGAAAATTCCTTAATATCCTGTAGAGTCTCAGCATTTAGCCCCATGTCTGGTATAGATTAGATACTCTAAAGTCATTTGCAGTTTGTGAGTTATAAGTCTTCTGATCCTTGTCTTCATAAAACTTAGTCTAGTGTCACATAAACTGGTCAAGAATTTAGCAGTAAGGAGTAAAGCATAGTATTTCAGTTGCATATGTAGCTGTGTGTTGTAGTTCTCTGTTACATAGAACTGTAAGTTAGTTCACATGAAACATCTTACTGTTCGCTTTCTTTTCCATTGACTTGTGTACTGGAAGGTGAATTATTTCCTTTTAATTTAAAAGTGAGATTTATGTCAGCCATAATGGAAGTATATTATGCTTCTTTTGAGGCAGGTTTCTGAGTTAAGTTCAAATAGTAATGTATTTTATCTTATATCTAAATTCCATTTTGTGGAATATTACTCAGCAATCAAAAAAGATAAACACATGCAGTTTGCAGCAACATGGATGGAGCTAGAAGGGATCATGCTCAGCGAAATAAGTTAAAGAAAAAGAAAAATACCAGATGGTCTCACTCATAGCAGGAATTTAGAAAACCTAAATAAGGGACCAGGAAAAAGATTAATAAATACAAAGTAAAAATCAAAATCAGCAAGCAAGTATAAACCAGAGACACAGTGGGGAGAGGGGGAGGGGCGGGGAGAGGAACAACTAGGGTCAAAATAAGGGGGGAGTGCAATTGTATGGGGAATATAACCAAAATGATAATTCATACATTGTGCAAAAATGAAAAATGATGTAAGAATTATATAAAATAAAATATTAATTAAAACATCTTTAAAAGAAAAAAATAAATTCCATTTTGCCTTGGATTCTAATTTTTTTTTTCTTGCCATTTCAGGTAAGACCATGAATTATGGCATTTCTTAAATGAAGCATTCAGGAATGAAGTGAAAATCATAACATATAGAAAATAAGTGATTTTTTAAGTTATGTCTATTAATTTGACTATAGATATATATATTTACCTCCTTAGTAATGCCAGAAGTCTTTGTGGGAAGCAGAGAAGCAAGCAACTGCATTTCTTTTGCTCACCTAAACATTACTGGAGGATAAGCCACATCAGTCTTCAAAGAGGTTTTTATTCAAGCAAAATAAGATGTAAATGGACAAAAAGTGAAGCACATTCTTGCAGTAAACACTGTTACTCTCTCAGCAACCATGCTTTACATATTGGAATTTTGAAACTTAGTACTTCTGCTCCCAAGGGACTTACAAAAGTGAGCCTTCGTATGTCCCGTATTAAAAGTACTTTGAACTCTGTTTCAAAGGCTGTTTTTGGTAATGAGAATGAAATGATCTCACGTTTAGCTCAATTTAAGCCAAATTCTCGAATACTAAGAAAAGTATCAGATAGTGGCTGGTTAAAACAGAAAAGCATTAAGCAAGCTGCCGAAACGCTTAAAAAATACAGTGACAAATCAGCAGAGAAGAATTCTTTTCCAGAAAAGAAAAGTAGCATAGATAAAGACAAAAGTAAAAAAAGCCTTTATCATTATACAAGTAGTATAACCACAAAATTTGAAGAATCATTCTATTTTTTATCAAATCATATTAATTCATACTTCAAACGTAAACAGAAGATGTCTGAGAAGAAAGAAGATAAACCTTTTCAGGACAAATTAGAAGTTGAAGATAAAAGCATTGAAGTGAAATCCAGTTCTCCAGATCCTGGTGTCCAGATTGATAAGAAGCTAGACTCAGAATCTTCTTTACCTACTGAGGACAAACCTGCAAGTCCTAGCAAGGCACCTGAGGTTCTTCCAGTTTCTACTAAACAAAGTATTGCAAATTTTCTTTCTTACCCCACTGAGGGTGTACAAGCTTTAGTAGGTGGTTATATTGGTGGACTGGTACCCAAATTAAAGTCTGATTCAAAGAGTCAGCCAGAAGAACCGGTAGAGGCCGCTAAAGCTGAGCAGCCTGTCAGCAAAGACAAAAATGCAGAGGAGAGAAACCGTTTATCTCTTCAGCGAGAAAAGGCAAGCTGTTATTTAGTTTGGTTTTAGGTTTCATTAATTTTTGTCATATTTTAAGTTTCACTACCTAAGAAAATTTGACCATTTGTTGGTATTTCTAGCAGTTTCATATACTAAATATGTATTTAATTTGTCCTTTTAGATTATTGCAAGAGTGAGTATTGATAACAGAACTCGGGCATTAGTCCAGGCATTAAGAAGAACAACTGACCCAAAGCTCTGCATTAACAGGGTTGAAGAACTTACTTTGCATCTTTTAGAATTTCCTGAGGGAAAAGGAGTGGCAGTCAAGGTAATCTGGTTTTATCTTAAAAATATTTATTAACCTCTTGGGCCTCCCCAGGGGCGCAGTGGGTTGAGTGCAGTGCTGTGAAGCTGTCTGCAGCCTTTGCAGCACGGGTTTGATTCCCCGCCGGCCAGGGAGATACCCACATGGCGCGGCAGACCTCTCTTGTTTCGCCCGCTGCTCCTCTCAGCAGTGTTTTCAGTCTCCGCCTGTTCTGTTCCCTGCTTTGTCTCTGGTGAATTCTCTCAACCTCCAGTGCCTCTGGCCTGTACCCCAGCTCTTGTAAAAATAAATAAATCTTTAAAAAAGTCAATTAAAAAAATATTTATTAACCTCTTAAAATGGAGAAAGCCCTTTTTTTTTATTTAAAATATTTCTGCTTTCATCACACATGATGTAATTTCAGCAATTTCCCCATTCTATGTTATACATTATGCTAAATGCTCTTTTATTCTATGATATAAATCATGCTATTAGTGCTAGTATCTGTACTTTGAGATTAAACTTTTTTAAAATGGAAGATCTCAGTGTATTACTGGAATTGCACAACAGCTGCCAAGTTTATTTTAAATGTAGTGTAGATATTTATAGTACATAATTACTCTTTCTATGACAGGAGACTCAATTTACAAGTAAAGCCACTGCTAATTTTTATTTTATGGTCTTACTCTATTTGTAAGTTTAAAAATTGTAATGATCTTACTGATAATACAATTAGTAATCATTAATAAAAGAATTAACTTTTCTTTGCCTCAGTTTTTTCAAATATTAGTGAAGATTATTGAGACCCATTTAAATACTTTCAGAGAGAAAATTGTAAAATAAAAGTTTTGTATTTAATCATATTTAATCTGTACCAAGATAATTTTTAAATATTTAATGAACAATTTAAAAATACCATGCAATGAATTGATAATGTTAATATTTCATTGGAGATCTATCAGTGCTTACTTTAGCTTCCCATTCAGAAAATTATGTTAGCTCCCATTTGTATGACTTTCTAACCGTCATTTTCTGGAAAATGATGTCTTCGAATGATGTACCTTGCTGTGATTTTTTTTGTATTGTATATATATACATTGTTCATATTGTATATGTATACATTGTTCATAAAATTGAGGATGATCTTTCATATATGTGTAATCTCTTAAAAGATAAATATCCAAATACACATATGCTTTTAAGTGCATTTTATATTTTATTGAGATCCTGAGAGCAGAGATATAAAATAGAATTGCATATTTAAAGAAATTTTAAAACAAATGTGATTTGGAATGTTTATTCAGCTCAATTTTTTTTTTAAAGATTTATTTATTTATTTATACAAGCACTGGGTACAGTCAGAAGCGCAGGTGGGTGAGAGAGAATTCACCAGAGCCAGAGCAGGGAGCAGAACAGGCAGACTGATGAAGTACACTGCTGAGGGGAGCAGTGGGCATGGCAAGAGAGGTCTTTGCGCCATGTGGGACCCTCGCTGGCGGCTGGGGATAGAACTGGTGCTGCAGAGGCTGAGGGTAGCTTCGCAGCCCAGCCCTCAACTGCTGCGCCACCGGGCAGGCCCTTCAGCTCAATTATTAATGAAAATCTACCTAGAGTGATAGAATTGCACTTTTGAGAAATGCTAGTCATTTATTCACGGAATTTTTATATGAAATTTACTTTGTGTGTGTGCTGTATTTATGATAACCAAATCTAGGGAACTGTCTTTAATATCTAAAAGATTTATTTATTGGGACCTCCCTGGTGTGGTGCAAGAGGTTAAAGTCTCAGAATTTGAAGCTATCATAGGCACTACAGCGAGTTTGATGTCCAGTTAGGGAGCTGACCTACATGGCGCAGCAGACCTCTCCTGTCTCCCCTGCTGCTCCCCTCAGCAGTGTATTTCAGTCAGTCAACCTGTTTCCCATTTTGTCTCTGGTGAGTCCTCTCACTGCCTGCCCCCTCCCACACCTCTGGCCTATATCCTTGTGTGCATAAATCTAAAAAAAGATTTATGTATGCATTTAAAAAGATTTATTTATTTATGCATACAAGAACTGGATTATAGGCCAGAGATCCAGGGGATGGTGAGAGGATTCACCAGAGACAGAGTTGGGAGCAGAACAGGTAGATTGACTGAAATACACTGCTGAGGAGAACAGCGGGCTAGGAAGGAAAGATCTGCTGCACCATGTGGGTCATGGACCTCCCTGGCTGGGGATCAAACTCATGCTGCAGTGGCTGCGGACAGCTTCATAGTGCTGAGATCTGAGCCCTTGCACCACCATGGAGGCGCTTTTGTGTATTTTGTGTACTTGTATTTTATGTGTTATATTTATGGCAGCCACATCTAGGAAATTGTCTTTGATGATTTTTTCATTGGGGATCAGGGTGATCTTACACTAATTTTTTTAAATTAAAAAGTAATCTTTTATTATTTCAAAAATGGGCAGCATGTGGACATTGTAGAAAATTAGAGGAAAATAGGAATAGAAATGGCTCTACTATCCTGAGATTACCACTGTAATGTATTAGTATCTATTTGTGTTAGATTGAACAGGGTTAAGCTCAAATAACAAATCATACCAAAATAGCAGTATCTTACCACAACAGAAATTTGTCACTCATGTAAAGTTGGCTGCTAGTTTACGTGACAGTGAACCTCTGTGTTGCCTATTTTGATCTTGTTCCCTGCATCTTAATACAAGGCTTCTTCCATGGTTGCTCTAGCAGCGTGAGAGTATTTGAGCAGAAATTGACATAACCTATTTTTCCTGCCCAGTTGGATTAGCCCTCAAAGTACTGCCATTGTGTGCCTGAGGGTGGAAGCGAACTGGGTGGGTATTGGCAAACACTGGTAATATCTACCACAATATTCTCCCAGAATCTGTTCTACACACACACACACACACACACACACACACACACACACACACACACGGGATGAAGTCATTGTATATATAGTTCTGTTTCATAACCTGTTGTTGTATTTTTTACAATATAAACCTTTCTGTCAGTAAATTTTTGTCTCCTCCTATACCTAGGAGGTATAGTTCAAAATGTTTTATGTAACTGATTGGATTCAAATGAGAGTCCAGTTCAGACCATATGTTTTATTTGGTTAATTCCCCTAAGTCATTTATAATATAGCACAGCCCTTCTTTACCCCCACCATCAAAACCGACTAACTGAAGAGATCAGTCTGGGTTATTTTGTAGAGTGATTCACTTTATGGATTTACCAGACTTCTTTTTCATTGTTGGTACTTAATTATTCCTCCATCCTTTTTATTTCCTGAACACTGGAATTTAAATATATACTCTTGGTTGAGTTAAGCATTTTCTTGGTAGAACACATTGTAAATAATGTCCTGTGCCTCATTGTGTCATATCAAAACACATGACTGGTTGCGCAACCACTAGTAATGCTACTGGATTAGGAGGAGGACATTTGATCTTTTCATTGGATGCTTAAACTGGAACCATTATCTCATCAGCCATTAACTTAATTGTTTCCAGAACTAGTCATTTCATTAGCATTGCAGAATGAAAATCTTCTAATTCCATTACTCCTGTATTACAATTTACATTCTTCTGTAAAAGTAGAGCTTTCCTTCACCAACTGAAGCTATTTGGTTACTCTCAAAGACCAACTTTACGAGACTAGCAAGAGAAATGCTTACTTTCTTTCTATTTAATCTCCAAATTTCAAACAGAGTTATTTTTAAAACTGCCTTAATGGCAACATGGATTTTGGGTATCTTTTCTTAATTTTAATGGGCAGTATTTGTCTTCTACTTCAATTTTATTACCATTTTCTCATTTCACCATGAGGTATCCTTGTATCCCATATGAAATGTACATAAGGTGGTTTCATTTTTTTCTTTTAGTAGTAGTTTAAATTTCTTAGAGTTACTATGAAGCAGTTTCATCTTTAAGATTTGGACAAAATATTCTATAAAATTTGTTATTTTGTTGTAATGATACTTGTGTACTTGTGTTAAATTAAACTTTCTCTGATTGTTAAACTAAGCGCTGCATTTTAAAAAGAGAATTATTGGGCCTCCCTGGTGGCACAGGTGATTGAGTGCAGCGCTGTGAAGCTGTCCGCAGCCTCTGCAGTGCCAGTTTGATCCCTGCTGGCCGCGGACATACCCACATGGCGGGATAGACCTCTCTTGTCTCGCCCACTGCTCCCCTCAGCAGTGTATTTCAGTCAATCTACCTGATCTGTTCCCCGCTCTGTCTCTGCTGAATCCTCTCACCCTCCTGCACATCTGACCAGTACCCTGGTCCTTGTATAAATAAATAACTGTTAACAATAAATTTAAAAAAGAGAATTATTTGTTTTGTCCTAGATATTAAGACAAAAATATTTTAGATACTCATTAGATACTAATATCAAAAATTAAGATTACTGAGAAATTAGTGAATACTGACACTTTGATTATAAGTGATGGTCTGTATGTGTTGGTTAAAAATAATCATACATTTTCACTCTCGACTAAAACAACAAAATATCTTTTCTCTTAATGTAGGAAAAAATTATTCCGTATTTATTACGATTGAGACAAGTTAGGGATGACACGCTTCAGGCTTCGGTTAGAGAAATTTTGGCCTTAATTGGCTATGTGGATCCAGTGAAAGGAAGAGGAATACGAATTCTTTCAATTGATGGTGGAGGAACAAGGTAAGTCTAGAAAAATAATTTTTTTAAACTACAGATACAGTTCAACTTTAGGAGTTTTTAAAACTGATTTGGTGTAACTGTGTCTTCACTTACTATATTCTTAGCTTACTACTTGGTCAGTCTCAGTGCTTCAAATTCAAATAAATTTCCTTTTATTTGAATTTGATCTGGTTTTACATTTTAGTTTTTCTGCTCAGACCATTTTGTTTTTTAGGAGAGTTTTATCAATGTGATTTTCTCCAATTTTGGCACTGTTTTGTAATGTTAACTTTCATTATACTTATCTTACCAGTAGGTGTCAGTCACCTAGTTATTTAAGAAATAAATAACTAGGAAAGGAGTCTGCAATCAGTAACTTCCTGACATCTTCACTTGTGGGTGCCAGTTCTGCTACACAGGAAATACTTAATGTATTCTTAGTTTGGAAGGTGATAAATTTCAGCATCAAGCTCCATTCTTACTACTGGCACTCCACTCTTGCTTTTTACTCTCTTAATTTTTCTAGTTTCTTACTACCTTTTGCTTGGATTCTTTGGCTTGGTTTTATAAACTGCCCCCCCCCCCCAATTTTCTAGCTTCAGTTCCAGTTTCCTGCCATTTCTACTCTTAACCTCTTAGTTTTGTAGCATATGTACTGCTTATCATTCTAATATCTCTAATATTCCTATCTTGTCAATGTTTCAGTGATTTTGTATATTCTTCTGATGTTAAGAATTGTTCACTGTTACATACACCCTAACACCTTCTGGGTTTTTCTGTCTTTCACATTCTTTCATGACAGTATTTGCACTTGGGCAAGGATCAAAAAATGAACAAAATTAGATGTATTAATGTATGCTGCTGACTTTGCTGGTTTCTGGATACAGCTATTTCTTAATGCAGAACATTGTCCTAAGGTTGTTGAGAGTTTTTAAAATAAGCAAAAAAGCTTAAAAATATGACTAGTGAAATGTATAAAACAAAAACATAGACACTTAGATCCTCAACTACTTTGATAATAGAATAAACCAATAGATGGCATCCAGAAACTTGGTGAGTGGAGGTTTTAAATATTTTCCAGAGTTGGGGTGTTTTAAAATAATACCTTACATATGAGTGAAATCATACTGTGTCTTTTTCCTTCTGACTTATTTTACTTAGCATAATATGTGGATTATAAAAAAAAAACCAACCAAAATAAAACAAAGGAACAAGCAGAAACTCTTAGCTACAGAGAGTGAATTGTTGATAACCAAAGGGGAAGGAGTTTGGGGTGGGAGGTGAAAAGGGCACGAGAGTCAGTTATGTGGTGGTGGATAGAAATTAGACTCTTGGTGGTGGTTGTGTAGCATATATAAATTGTCAAATGATAATGTACAACTGAAATTTGTAAATGATGTTATAAATCAGAGTCACCTAAATTTAAAAAAATCTTGCATTGGCATAACTTTGTAGTCTTAAAAGCAGCTAGTATAAATTTTATATACGTATTTCCTTAATAACTTTTATACCATTCTTTAGGTGTTGATTTTCTAAAGTGATTCTAAAAACGTGGACCATTTTTACTGATGCTAATATATAATATTAGTTTTCATTTTAGCATATAATCTAGAAAAGCAATTGTGGGATTGTTTCATTCAATAACTTAATTGTCCTTGAAGCACAAATTCTCATTTTGCTTTTAATCTTTATTGCAGGGGTGTGGTTGCTCTCCAGACGCTACGAAAATTAGTTGAACTTACTCACAAGCCAGTGCATCAGCTCTTTGATTACATTTGTGGTGTAAGCTCAGGTAATTATTATATGGAAGTGGTACATCCCATCATTGCATTAAGAAAAAGAACATTAAGCATTAAGTTTAAAATGATGGTCATTCTCTGAAATGATGGGTTTTTTATGTTTTGATGAATAATCTTTTTGGTTTGCTTAATAAACTTTTAAAAAGCTTATTGGGATCAAATTAACTCTCAGAAGTCAATTTTAATGTGTTTTTCCAGTATTTTTAAATCACTCATTGTGACAAGTGCAACTTATGAATTAATTGCTTTGTGGAATAGTCATCTTAAGGAAGTGATGGAAGGAAAGTAAGTACTCAAATTGTATTTGAGCCAGTAGAATATTAAAGACAAATAAGATTTAATTTTTTTTTGTGAGGGATGTCACTGAAAGGAAATTGCTTTTATTTTTTACATCTGATTTTTTGAAACTAGAATTTAAATTAGTAAATGTGGCAATCTATGTTTTTTTTAGTTGTAATTTCTTATTTATTTTTCAGAGATTTATTTTATTTACTTATGTATAGAAGAGCTGGGGTGTAGGCCAGAGGTGCATGAGGATGAGAGGGCTCACTAGAGACACAGTGGGAAACAGAACAGGTGGATTAACTGAAATATGCTGCTGAGGGGTGCAGCTGGTGAGACAGGAGAGGTCTACTGTGCCATGTTAGCTCCCTGTCTGGGGGTCGAACTAGTCTGCAGTGGCTGGATAGCTTCATTGTGCTGAGATTTAACCCCTTGTGCCACCAAGGAGGCCCCAGTTTCCTATTTTTTAATAGAAGAAATTGGTAACTTAAGACTACGATTTTTGCTGAATAATTTCTTACTTTTTGTTGACTTATAAGATAAATTTTTTTTTCTATTTCCTTATATCAGCTCTTTCACCCATCTACAATCCCTGTCTCTGGTTACCCCCATTTCCTTACCCTTGTATGTATATTAAGCCTCTGAGGATACCCATAGTTAATTGTTTACTTCTCAGGTAACACTCAAGGACTATTAAGATTGCAAATCCTTGCTGTGTGTTTTGCTGTTGGACCTGATAATTTTTCATTGTGTATTAGTTTGTCTTCATAGATTTTTATTTCTGTTTCTTTTTCTCATTCTTTTGAATTACAATCAACAAAATCAAATGATTTCTTTATATTGTCTCTATATGACAAATATTCTCAAAGAACATGTTAATTGATGCTCAGTTGTTATAAAAAATGAAAGCAGTGGTGGGGATGATTCAAAAGCGTAAGGAATCTTGTGATTCCTGTGATGTTCCACTCAACACTGATTCCTTAAGATCTTAGTAAATTTGGAAAATATTAGAATAAAGGAAGATAAACGGTTTCATTACAGAGGGACTTGTGAGATCTATTGTTACATTAAAAAAAATGCATTCTTACTCTCAAGATAGGAATTACATATATATCCCAAATTAACTTTATTATGGACACTTTTCTTAAGAGGCCCTAATGTGCTTTGGTACTTTTTTGGAGCTATTACCCTAACAATTTCTGTTAAAATTTGCAATGGTCGTAGCAGTTCAAAAATTTAAACATATCTGTGAGCTAACTACTTACTTTGGCACCATGGTTGGTGAGTGGGTACACAGTAATTAAGAGAAGTTTAGGGCCTCCCCGGTGGCGCAGCGGTTGAGCGCTGGGTTGCGAAGCTGCCCGCGGCCTCTGCCGCGCCGGTTCGATCCCCGGCTGCTCCCCAGCCACCGGAGGAGGGTCCCACATGGCGCGCAGACCTCTCCTGCCGCCTGCTGCTCCCCTCAGCAGTGTACTTTGGTCCTTCTGCCTGCTCTGCTCCCTGCTCTGGCTCTGGTGAATTCTCTCACCCTCCTGCGCTTCTGACTGTACCCAGTGCATGTATAAAAGAAAACAAGCAAGCAAACAAACAAATAAATAAATAAATAAAACATGCCTCTATTTAAAAAAAAAAAAAAGAGAAGTTTAAATCACCAAGATTTATCCAGGAAGTAGACTATCAGTTTCTGTGATATGTACGTTTTTGTATTTATCACGATATGTGTTTTCCATTGTGTCTTCTAGCTTGTGTTAATTCTAACTTAGCTTACTTACAGTTTTGCTTTCTTTATTCTATTGTGTGTATTCTACCTTAGACATTCTGTTTATTTATAAATTTTATAGTTAATTAAATATATATTTAGTTTAAGGGCATTGTCCTCACCAGTTAAATAAAATTCAGTTTTTTAATACCTGTTTAGGTTTACAGTAGCCCTAGGAAAGGAATTGAAATTTTTGGCAAGTTATTTCTTGTGTAAATTTGAACCTTCTCCCCTTTTTCCCATTAGTTCAGGGTTATTCCACTTAGGTGCACTAGGTGGCAGTGTGTCCTACCAGTTGCAGGTGGAATAAGAAATAAGCTATTAATAGTTAAAGGGAGGGCCTCCCTAGTGGCCCAGGGGTTAAAGACACATCACTATCAAGCTATTGGCAGCCACTGCAATGAGTTCAATCCCTGGCCAGGAAGCTAACCCACATGGCATAGCATAGCTAACCCACATGGCATAGCAGTGTTCTGTTCCCCACTGTCTCTGGTGAATTCTCTCATCCCCCTATACCTCTGGCCTACACCCCAGTTCTTGTATGCATAAATAAATAAATCTTTTTAAAAAATAGTTAAAGGGACAGCCCAGAAACCTTATTTCTTTTATTACACCAGTTCCCAGCCCTTACTTGAAGGAGTCATTACTCTAAATTAATTGGTTAAGTAGTCAAATATACTTTATTCTGTGACTAAAAGTAAATAATTTATGAAGTTAGAAAGAACATTACTGCAGTATTTTAATTTTAATTATGTACTTAATACAAAACAACACGTTTTTACATATTTTTAAATTGTCGTCATCATCATCATTGCTTAGCATTTATGTAATCCTTATTGAATCCTGGTAAAGCCCTTAACATATGTTTTCCCAGTGCAAGAACCTTATAAATTTTAGTTGTTACTGTCTTCATTTTATAGATGAAAAAATTGGGCCTCCCCGGTGGCGCAGCGGTTGAGCGCTGGGTTGCAAAGCTGTCTGCAGCCTCTGCAGCGCCAGTTCGATCCCCGGCTGCTCCCCGGCCACCGGAGGAGGGTCCCACATGGCGCGCGGACCTCTCCTGCCACCTGTTGCTCCCCTCAGCAGTGTACTTCGGTCCTTCTGCCTGCTCTGCTCCCCGCTCTGGCTCTTGTGAATTCTCTCACCCTCCCGCGCTTCTGACTGTACCCAGTGCTTGTATGAATTAATAAATAAATAAATATTTTTTTTAAAAAAAGAAAAAAATTGATGCTCTAAGAGGTTAATGGTTTGTCTCAGGTGACTGAGTTTGAAGTAGCAAACCTAGCCAGGTCAGTGACTCAGGATATCTTATAGTTACCATAATGTCAATGCTGATAAAAACCTAAGGATTCTTTCTTTCAGGTGCCATATTAGCATTCATGTTGGGATTGTTTCATATGTCCTTGGATCAGTGTGAGGAACTTTATCGAAAAATAGGATCAGATGTCTTTACACAAAATATCATTGTTGGAACAGTCAAAATGAGTTGGAGCCATGCATTTTATGATAGTCACACATGGGAGAATATTCTAAAGTAAGTTATGTTTATTCTGTTTAAAATATTAAGATTATGTAGGTAATATGCGCATACTATAACTTGAAAAATATGAAGAAAAATATTATTGAAACCACTAATTAGAGATAGCCATTGTTAATATTTTGGGGAATCATATTGTAGTCACATATACACTCATTTATAAAATCAAGATTTAAATAAAATAGCAAGTGTGTACTTTGCTTAAAATCAGAATGCAACATGCTCTCAGGAATTCTGTCCTAATTTTACCACTGGACATCTATGAAAAGATAAAGTAAAAAAACTTAGAAAAATAAAATTGCATTAATCTTTATGTAGAAGAAACATGTAGATCAGGTTGGATAAAACAAAGGTCTTGTCCATCGTAGAAAGTATTTTATAAAAGATTATAAAAGGTAGACATTACCTAATTTGTAAATAGTACTCTTATGTGAAATTCACTAGTATTCTGATTGAGAAACATGAGTATTATTTGGAAAAATTATTAGAAAAACATCTTTTCTTATTAAGACAGATTGGTAGAAACCATAGCCTTTATATTCAACATATATTCAATGTTCAATATATTCAGTATTGTATCTAGGGAAAATCTGCATTAAAATACATTTCCTATATATTGGAATAGTCAAAATTGTTGCACAAGGGCAATCTCTATAATGTTGCAGTAATTCACATGCCAAATCAAATGATTTTAAAAGCATGTTTAGGGTGGGAGGTGACGTTGACTTTGTACTGCTAAAACAAATTTAAAGTCTGAATGTCCTGATTTGATTTTCAGATTGCTTATACTTCTCTAGTCTTACCTCAGCATTGTTCCTTTATCCTACCAGGAGGACTCTGAAAACAACAGATTTATTCTGCTTCTGTATATGTTCTGACTCTGAATGCATTGCTTGGCCATCTTTTGCAGGCCTTCTCTAGCTACAGCTCATGAGTTGCTGCCCCAGTATTGATGACCACCCCTTCAGAACTATAGATACTTAACAGTTTTGATCAGAGATTAATAAAAAGCTACGTATTGTTTCATGTGCTAATTGGATAATAAGCATCCTAGGGAGAGTCTTGTATATTTGGTCCCTCTTATCCCTTTACTACTTGCATAGTAGATCTGTTGAAAATGTCTGTTTCCTGATTATTAGGAGATAGTCATTTTGATACAGTTTCTTTATTCTTTAATAAAGGGATAGAATGGGATCCTCACTAATGATTGAAACAGCACGAAATCCCACATGCCCTAAGGTAAGTTCAAAGTTTCTTATATGTAACAGAATTGAAGATCAAGGAGAAAGCACTTATCGTGAAACTCTTTCAATAGATTATATTATCTCCTATATATTGAATCATTCTGTGGAGATACAGATTATGATCATTTTCGATATGCACTAAAATATAAAAAATATTTGAGAGTATGACAGGCTGAAGATAAGGGCTGAAGTTAAGAATTTTTTATTTTTTTTTTAGTTTTAGTTTTTTTTTTATTATTTATTTATTTATTTATTTATTTATTTTTAAACAGAGGCATGTTTTTATTTATTTATTTGTTTGTTTGTTTTGTTTACACATGCACTGGGTACAGTCAGAAGCGCGGGAGGGTGAGAGAATTCACCAGAGCCAGAGCAGGGAGCAGAGCAGGCAGAAGGACCGAAGTACACTGCTGAGGGGAGCAGCGGGCGGCAGGAGAGGTCTGCGCGCCACGTGGGACCCTCCTCCGGTGGCCGGGGAGCAGCTGGGGATCGAACTGGCGCCACAGAGGCTGCGGGCAGCTTCGCAACCCAGCGCTCAACCGCTGCGCCACCAGGGAGGCCCTATTATTTTTTTAATAATAAATTTTATTTTTATATTCCCCATACAGTTGCAACCCCCCCTTTCTGATCCCAATCCCTCCCCTCCCGCCCCCCCCAAAAGTGTCTCTGTTTCATAGTTTTTTGTTGATTCTGATTTTCACTTTCTTATAGTTATTCATTTTCCTGGTCCCTTATTTAAGTTTTCTAGATTCCTGCTATGAGTGAGACCATCCGGTATTTTTCTTTTTCTTTTTGGCTTATTTCGCTGAGCATGATCCCTTCCAGCGCCATCCATATTGCTGCAAATTGCATGTGCTTATCTTTTTTGAATGCTGAGTAATATTCCATGGTGTATATGTACCACATCTTCTTGATCCAGTCATCTATTTTTGGGCATTTGGGCTGTTTCCAAATCTTAGCTATTGTAAACAGTGCTGCTATAAACATAGGGGTGCAGGTGTTCTTTGGAATTGATGTTTCTGTGTCCTTTGGGTAGATACCTAGGAGTGGAATTGCTGGATCATATGGAAGCTCTATGTTTAGTAGGTCCAGAAATCTCCACACAGCTCTCCATAGTGGTTGGACCAGTTTGCACTCCCACCAACAGTGCAGAAGAGTTCCTTTTTCTCCACACCCTCGCCAACATTTGTTGTTGCTAGTTTTTTTAATATGTGCCATTCTCACTGGTGTAAGAAGGTATCTCATGGTAGTTTTGATTTGCATTTCCCTGATGACAAGTGATGTTGAACATTTTTTCATATGTCTGTTGGCCATTTGCATTTCCTCTTCAGAGAAGTTTCTTTTTAGCTCTTCTGCCCATTTTTTAACTGGATTATTTTCTTTGTTGTTGTTGAGTCTCATCAGCTCTTTGCAGATTTTTGTGATCAGTCCTTTATCATGTTGGGTGCAAAAATGTTCTCCCAGTTGGTGGGGTTTCTCTTTGTTTTTGTTATTGTCTCTTTTGCTGTGCAGAAGCTCTTTAATTTGATGTAGTCCCAGCTGTTTATCTTTGCCTTCACTATCACTGCTTTGGGTGATGTGTCTGTAAAGATGTCTTTGATGTGCAAATCACGTAGTGTTTTGCCTATATTTCCTTCTATATATTTTATGGTTTCAGGTCTTATGTCTAGTTCTTTAATCCATTTTGAGTTGATTTTTGTGTATGGTGTGAGGTAGTGGTCAAGCTTCATTCTTTTGTATGTAGCGACCCAGTTTTCCCAGCACCATTTATTGAACAAACTTTCTTTGCTCCAATGCATAGTCTTTGCTCCTTTGTCAAAGATTAGTTGACCATAGATCTGTGGGTTTATTTCTGGATTTTCTATTCGATTCCATTGGTCTGTATGTCTGTTCTTGTTCCAATACCATGCAGTTTTGATTATTATGGCTTTGTAGTATAGTTTGAAGTCTGGGAGTGTGATGCCTCCATTTCCTTCTTTTTTTTCAGGAGAGCTTTGGCTATTCGGGGTTTTTGGTGATTCCATATGAATTTCATCAATAATTGTTCTATTTCTTTGAAGAATGACATTGAAATTTTGATTGGAATAGCATTGAATCTGTATATTGCTTTTGGTAGGATGGCCATTTTAATAATGTTTATTCTTCCAATCCATGAGCAGGGGATGTCTTTCCATTTCTTTGTGTCTTCTTCTATTTCTTTTAACAGTGTTTTATAGTTTTCTTTGTATAGGTCCTTTACCTCTTTTGTTAGATTTATTCCCAAATATTTGATTTTTTTTTGTTTCAATAATAAAGGGATGGTTTTTTTGATTTCTTCTTCTTCAGATTTATTGTTTGTGTATAGGAAGGCTACTGACTTTTGCGTGTTGATTTTGTATCCTGCCACTTTACTGAACTGATTGATTAGTTGAATTAGTTTTTCTGTGGAGTTTTTGGGGTTCTCTACGTATATTATCATATCATCTGCAAATAGTGATAGTTTGACTTCTTCTTTTCCTATTTGGATTCCTTGGATGTTTTTCTCTTGTCTTATTGCTCTGGCTAGGACTTCCAGTGTTGTATTGAAAAGCAGTGGTGAGAGTGGACATCCTTGTCTTGTTCCAGATCTTAATGGAATTGCTTTCAGCTTTTCACCATTGAGAATGATACTGGCTGTTGGCTTGTCATAGATGGCCTTTATGATGTTGAGGTACGTTCCTTGTATCCCAAGAATTTCAAGGGCTTTTATCATGAATGGGTGTTGCACTTTGTCGAAAGCTTTCTCAGCATCTATTGATATTATCATATGGTTTTTATATTTCTTTTTGTTGATGTGTTGGATAACGTTGATTGATTTTCGGATGTTAAACCATCCTTGTGTCCCTGGAATGAATCCTACTTGGTCGTGGTGAATTATCTTATGGATACATTGTTGGATTCTGATAGCTAAAATTTTATTGAGGATTTTTGCATCAGTGTTCATTAGGGAGATTGGCCTGTAGTTTTCCTTTTTTGTGTTGTCCTTGTTCGGTTTTGGTATTAGTGTAATGTTGGCTTCATAGAACGTGTTTGGTATTGTCCCTTCTCAATTTTTTGGAAGAGTTTGTGAAGAATAGGCACTAATTCGTCTCTGAATGTTTGGTAGAATTCATTTGTAAATCCATCAGGTCCTGGGCTTTTGTTTTTGGGGAGGTTTTTGATTACCATTTCAATTTCGCTGCTTGTAATTGGTCTGTTTAGGTGTTCTATTTCTTCTTTATCTAGCTTTGGGTGATTGTAGAGTTGTAGGAATTTGTCCATCTCCTCTAGATTGTTGAACTTGTTTCCATATAACTGTTCATAGTAGTTACTGATTATTCTTTTGATTTCTGCTGTGTCCGTTGTGATTTCTCCTCTTTCATTTGTGATCCTGTTTATTTGTGCTTTCTCCCTTTTTTCCTTTGTGAGCCTGGCTAGGGGTTTGTCTATTTTATTGATTTTTTCAAAGAACCAGCTCTTGGTTTCATTGATCTTTTGGATTGTATTTTTAGTTTCAATTTCATTTATTTCTGCTTTGGTTTTTATTATTTCTTTTCTTCTACTGGTTTTGGGGTTTTTTTTATTGTTCTTTTTCTAGATCTTTGAGCTTCGAGATTAGGTTGTTTCTTTGAGTTCTTTCTTGTTTCTTGATGTGACCTTCTATTGCTATATATTTTCCTCTTATTACTGCTTTTGCTGCATCCCATACATTTAGGATATTGGTGTCCTCCTTGTCATTCAATTCAAAGAATTTTTTAATTTCTTCTTTGATCTCCTCATTAGTCCAGTGGTCTTCCAGTAGTGTGGTTTTTAATCTCCATGAGATAGGAAAGTTCCTTGCCTTCCTTTTATGGTTTATTTGTAGTTTGATGCCTTCATGATCAGAAAAGATGGTTGGTATGATTTCAATCTTTGTGTATCTGTTGATGTTTGTCTTGTGCCCCAGTATATGATCGATCCTGGAGAATGATCCGTGTGCACTTGAGAAAAATGTGTACTCCGTTTTTTTGGGGTTTAGTGTTCTATAGATGTCTGTTAAGCCCAAATGCTCTAGGTCCTTATTTAGAGCTTTAGTTTCTTTACTTATTTTTTGTCTTGTTGATCTATCCATTGTTGATAGTGGTGTGTTGAAGTCTCCCACTACGTATGTGTTTTCTCTGATGTCTGTTTTCAGAGAGGACAACAGTTGTCTGATATATTTTGGTGCTCCTTCGTTTGGTGAGTATATGTTAATGAGTGTTATTTCTTCTTGAAATATTGTCCCCTTGATCATAATGTAATGACCATTGGGGTCTCTCTTTATTTTTTTTTGAGTTTGAGGTCTGTTTTATCTGATATAAGTATAGCTGTTCCTGCTTTCTTTTTTGGTCCATTTGCTTATAGGATTGTTTTCCATCCTTTAACTTTGAGCCTATTTTTATCTTTTGCAGCTAAATGTGTTTCCTGGAGACAGCAAAAGGTTGGGTTTTGTTTCTTAATCCAGGCTGCAACTCTTTGTCTTTTTATTGAAGAGTTTAGTCCATTTACATTTAGAGTTAATATTGATATGTTAGCATCTGTATTTGCCATTGTGTTTGTCTTTCCTTTGATTTTATTTATTTATTCTTTTAATAATTTTTTTTTTTTTTGGCCTTCTTTCGTTGTTATTCGTCCCTCTGAGGTTCTGGCTTTAGGATTCCTTGTAGTATTTTTTGGAGTGGGGGTTTAGTCTTAATGAAATTCCAGAGTTTCTGTTTGTCTGGGAAGGTCCTTATTCTTTCTTCATAGAGGAAGGAGAGCTTTGCGGGATAGATTATTCTTGGTTGGCATCTGTTTTCTTGGATTCTGTTGACTATGTCCCTCCACTCTCTCCTTGCCCGTAGTGTTTCTTCAGAGAAGTCTGATGTCAGCCTGATTGGTTTTCCTTTGAATGTTATCTGTTTCTTCCCTCTTGCCAGCTTCATTATTTTTTCCTTGTCCTGGATTCTTGGGAGCTTTACTATTATGTGTCTTGCTGTATTTTTCCTTTCGTCGTGGAAGTTTGGTGTTCTTCTTGCTTCTTGTATATCAATTTTCAGCTCCTTCTTCACATTTGGGAAGTTCTCTTCAATTATCTCCTGGAATATTTTCTCTGTTCCTACATCTCTCTCCTCTCCTTCTGGAATTCCTATAACTCTTATATTTCCTTTCCACATGGAGTCAGATAGTTCCCGAAGTCTTTCTTCATTCTTTTTCCTTTGTACTTCTCTTTCCTTTTCTGTTTTGCTTCTTTTTATTTCTGTGTCTTCAAGAGTACTTATTCGTTCTTCCATTTCATCTATTCTGCTTTCAACACATACCAATAAAAAAAATCTTGAGACCTGGAACAAAAGATTTTTAATAATCACCCAGATGCCAGTAATTAACCATAGTCAGAAAATCTTGGGTTTGTGTATTGTTAGAAGTTCAGTTACTAAAGTTATAATGCTATCAAAGAGCACAAAAACAAAGACTAATTTTTAAGTGATATGACAAAAACAATTACTCATCTTTAAGTAGTTTTTATTCATTTCTATTGTATCAATTATATAAAGGTCTGCAAATTTATACCTTTTTGAATGTCTTTAATCACAGTCAAAAATATCTTTTGTTATGGTTTTCTTTTAATATATTTCTTAAAACTGTCCCATCCTTGTATCTGTTTCCCCATAAAGAAATACATATTTTAAAAGGTTTGTTTTCCTTTGCTTAACATTAAGGTTAATCTTAAGGGTAAAACTGTAGATTGTTCGTTCATACAACTAAATAATACTTAATTTTTACAAGTTCCATTATACTGCTTATAATGCATAATGTTCACTTTTTAATCACCCAGGTAGCTGCTGTAAGTACTGTAGTAAACAGAGGGATAACACCTAAAGCTTTTGTGTTCAGAAACTATGGTCATTTTCCTGGAATCAGTTCTCACTATTCGGGAAGCTGTCAGTATAAAATGTGGCAGGCCATTCGAGCTTCATCTGCTGCTCCAGGCTATTTTGCAGAGTATGCATTGGGAAATGATCTTCATCAAGTAAGTTCATAGTATGTCTTATCTTTTTAAATTTCATGTGATTAAAAAGAATCAGAACTTACTAAATGTCACTGAATTTACAGAGGGATCAAACAAGAAGACTTTCTTCTTCATATTTCCATGTGGCAAAAAATGTATAGTACAAGATATTTTTGTTTGTTTTTCTTAAATTAACAAACTGCCTGACTTGAGCATATTTTAGGAAAGAATTTCTGTGTGTTTTAAAAAATGTTATTTATGTTCAATTATTACCATTTTATTTTTGGAAAAATGGACTTAATATGTATCATTGATCTTCCAAATGTGATAAACATCAAAAATGAAACTGCCCTTCAAAATGCAGAATCCAATCTGTTCAACAGTTTTGACAGACATACTTCGAAGAAGAGGCTATAAAACAATAATAATAGTAAAGACTCATTGTTAGCTATTGCCTGGCACTTATATATAGTCCTTTATAAGCACTGTCTCATTTAATCATCACTGCTTATGAGGTAGTAAGAGTTATTTCCCTTTCACACTTGAGAAATTGGAGTCAAGAAACATTAAGTAACTAGACTAGGGTCACAACTGACAAGTGACAGATTTCAGATAGTCTCTAACTTACTGTTTTTAAATATATGGAGTTGTGATCTATATAGTTGAATATTATTTCTGATAATTTGTTCATTTTCTGTTATGTAGACTCATTCATTTATTGTAAATATTTTCCCTTTCAAGTTTTCCACACTATTTGTAGAAATCTCAACTCATAACTTACACTACAGGACAAAAAAGAGTCAATAAAGCTTTTGAGCTGATGCTCCCAAATTACATACTTTTTTTTATATGCTTAATTTTTTATATGGTATCTCACTTCAAAGTTACCTGCTGGAGTCAACAGCCTTCACTTTCCTTGCTAAGAACTGAAGTATGCCCTCTTTGTCATTTGGGAATTCAGATCAATGTTGAGGAAAAAAACTAGCATCCTTGACAATGATTATCAGATACCATTCAAAGCTCATACATAGATTTGTATTAATTACATATCAACTATATGATTTTAATTTTCATGTGTTTGCTATAACTAAAGCATTTTCATTAACTTTTTTCTCATTTTATATAGTAGCTTAGATATATTTTAAAATGTTATAGTAGCTATCCCATTTGACTCTAGAAGTAATCTTTCTAGTTAAGAGATTAAGATAGGATTCTTTTTGCCTTTGGAGTCAATTCAAATTATTTCTTACTTTGTCAAATCAGTCATTGTTGAATTATGTAAGGCACTTCCCCTTCTCGCCTTTCTCGTCTTTCTTCCACCCCTGCAGGACAGAGAGTGTTAGCCCTTGAGTTTATTTCTGATACTGATTTTTAATTTTCACGTGTTGGCTTATTGGGGAAATAAAATTTTTCCTTAATATAGGGCTTGCTGACGTGGATGGAGCTAGAAGGAATTATACTCAGTGAAATAAGCCAGAATGAAAAAGAAAAATATCGGATGGTTTCACTTATAGCAGGAATATAGGGGAACCTAATAAGACATCAGTGTAAAAAACATAACAGTACAAAACACAGCAAAGCAAAAACAGACAATTATAAACCAGAGACATACTGCAGGGGAGGAGGAGGGAGAGCAGTGAGAGGGAGGGAGGGAGGAGCACAAGGGACTGTGGTGATGGTGCACGGGTGCATTGGGGAAGGAGATTCTGTGGGGACTCAATCTGAGGGGGTGGGGGGAAGCAAATATTGTCTAAAAAATGTAAAAAATGATAAACGTTAAAATAAAAAAATAATTTAAAAAAAAGAATACCCATATATATATATGGCTTGCTGTTTAACAGCGGTTTCTCCATAGTCTTAAAATTTTTCTCACCATGTCAGAAATGAAGAAATAATGTAAGTGATGTATTTCAAATATAATTGAGATTTATAACTTAAAACTTTAAGATGGCTGCCATGCTACACAATTGTAGTTTTGCCATATATTAGTGAGTATCAAACAAGTTACTGAATTTCATGACCAAATATTCTGAGAATTCAAAAAAAGATATTTTATTTGCTTTTTAATTCAGTGTTCTTTAAGATACATAAAACAAACTAATGTAAATTCAGTGGTTCTTTTTCCATTTCAGTTAGACTAGTGATAGTTGTTTTCATGCTTAGCCATTTTTACATTGATGACCATAATCTTTGAACTTAGGTTGAGGTATAGTTTAAAATAACTTTTTGTATGAATTTTATGTAAAGCATATAACCACATATATAGATAAGATACATCAGTAACTTGACACCAGAAAGATTGGCACATCTAATTTAATAAAAATATTCAAATGTAATCTGGAGTCTAAGCAAACCCTATTTAAGTACATTTTCCTTATTGCATATTCTCTTCCAATATTTGAAGAATTAGGGTATTTTTCCTCAAAAGACACCTTGAAAGATTGATAAGAATATTCTAAGGTATGAATGATCGTGATTGCTTAAACAAAGAAAATATTCACGCAAAGTTCCTTTCCAACCCTTCAGAAGTTGCCAAGAAGTTTAAAACTAAAATGTGGTACTTAATTATCTAAGTTATTTGAATAATTATATTCAGTTATTTCTAGTCTCATTTCTAAAGTCCCTTTTAACTGTCACATCTGACATATGTTTTAATGTATGCTACTTCATATCCTTTTTGGAATCAGGTAGGGTATAAATTATAGATTAATATTCTCCTTAAGCAGTTATTTAAAGTAATGCTATAATTAAGAAACATGAGTAGGTAGATGGATAGATTTCATTTGTCTTTGATTATAAAGAGTAGAATATTATATAGTATTGACCAGATTTATTACTTGTCCTAGAAAATTATAAAGTTGAAAGGATTGTTTTTTAGTTGCTTCTAAAGTATTACTTCTCTCTACCCTGCTTCTCCACCCCCACCCCCCACTGCTCAAGTAGCATCATATTCATCTTGAGTTAGTACTTTCGTATTTTAAGAAAATTATCCCTCTCTCTCCTTAATGACTTTATTGAGATGTAATTAATAGGCAGCAACTGCATGTATTTGATCTATACAGTTTGATGAGTTTGGACATATGCATTTCCCTTTTCACTCATCTTTTCCCATCTCTACATCCAAAATTACATCATTCATGTTCTGGCTTTAGAGATTCTGATAAATTAATTTGCACTAAAGATTTTGATGACTGATTGTAATATATTATTTCTTTTAAGCCTTATTTACATTTTAAAAGGTTATATTCAGAATTCAGAATACATTAACCTAAAAGGAATTATGATATTTCATACAAATTTTCCAGATAATGTTTTTAGCAGAAAGCGCCTGCCAAATTATGCCTGTGCTAGGCCACAATTAGTCGTTTTCATTATAACACAGCAAAAATGTGCTGAGTGTTAATAAGTGCCATGCACTGTGTTAGTCCTAAAAATATAAAGGTTTTGAGAATCTGTGTCTTGAATCCTACCCTCCAAAAGCTCAAGCTAGAAGAATATAAACTTAGTTATAGACTGAGATGACTAAATTAATTTTAATAAAAATGTGCAGAAATAAGAAGTCATAAAGAAGATGTGACTTACCAGAAGGAAAAGAAAAATATCGAATGGTTTCACTTGTAGGAGGAATATAGGGGAACCAAATAAGGCATCAGGAAAGAAAATAATAACAATAAAAAACACAACACAACAAACAAAAATATACAGACAACTATTAATCAGAGACATTCTTCAGGGGAGGAGGTGAACGAGGGATCGAAACAAGGGAGGGAGGAGTACAGGGAACTGAGGTGATGGTGCACGCGTGCATTGCTGGTGGAATTTCTATGGGGACTGCACCTGAGAAAAGAAAGCAAACATTGTTTTAAAAAAAAGAATGATATAAATATATATAAATATTAAATAATAAAAAAGAATATGTGAATTATAATATCAGAGTTGGCTTTATGAAAGTTTTCATCTGAGTTGATGTATAAAGAATAGTTGACTAAGATGGGAAACAAGATAGGGGGATGGGTAGTGACTGCTTGCTTAATGATTACAAAGTTTTTGTTTGGGGTAATGAAAACATTTTGGGACTAGATAGTGGTGATGTTTATAAAACATTCTGAAGGTAATTATTATTAAAAATGGTTAAAAGGACCAGTTTTAAGTTACATATCTTCTATCATATAAAAAACCAAAATGTTTAAACCCTAAAATCATAAGATGCTGAGGTTAGATGATTAAGAGGTATTGGCATCGTTATTTTCTGGTAGGTAATGATGAGGAAGTATTTAATCTAAAATATTCAGATGGGGCCTCCCTGGTGGTACAAGGGGTTAAGACGCAACCTATGTAGCTATTTGTATCCACTGCAGCACGAGTTCGATCCCCAGCCAGGGAGCTACCCACATGGCGTAGCAGACCTCTTCTGTCTTCACCTGCTGCTCCCCTCAATGGTGTATTTCAGTCAATCTGCCTGTTCTGTTCCCCACTTTATCTCTGTGAATCCTCTCACCCCCCCCCAACACCTCTGGCCTGTATCCCAGTTCTTGTATGTATAAATAAATCTTTAAAAAAATAAAATATTCAGATGATTATTAGAAGTTATACATACATTAATTAGAGAATTTAGGATAAGCATAGTTTAATGAAAGAGAACCTTTTTGCTGGATTAGAAATGAAATATGTTTCCTCTATTTTGGGATACAGGCATCATTCTAATGTCCTCTTATAGAGAAACATTGGAAGGACTAAGTTAAAAACTGTACTTGAGGAAAAGTTTAAGAAATAACTTTATTGGTATCTACATTTTTAGGAATCAGGTAGATTTCTACAGTTGAATAATACAAATACCTTGCCAATTTATGACTTTTCAGTATATATAAAGATTACTAATATTAAAAAGAATATTCCTCTCAACTGCTTGTGAACAAACTGATATATCTGAATAATGGACTAATACTCAGCAATAAAAAGGAATGAATTAAGAATTAATGACAGCACAGTGACATGGATGATCTAAAAAGCCTTATTCTAGAAACCAGACTCTAAAGACTCAGTACTGTGTAATTCCATTTATTTTGAGAAAAAGAGCTGAAGTGTGACTTTGAAGAATAGATGGAAGAATAGATTTTACAGAGAAGAAGATTGAGAAACTGAGGGTCCAAGGTTTTGTAAAAATAGAAAGTCACCTGGGTAATATAAGAAATTTTGATCCTTTTCTATCTTTGTAGATAGAAAACTGCAAATAATTCAAAAATAGCTAGACTCTAGGATTAAATGATGACCAATTCTGTGTAGCTTCAAAATGCAAAATCTGCAATTAATAAGTAAAAGTTACAGGGAGGAAGACTTGAGTTTATTAATTTTCTAGCAGTTTATAGCTTTTCGAAATGGAATGGATATATTAAGTGAGGTTTACCCCAGGAATGCATGACTGGTTTATATTTTTATTCTGTTACATTTTGTCATCCTCCATCAGCATGTTTTACCTTTCTTTCCTTTTGAATTCTTAAGAATATTTTGGTTATTGATAAACTAGTTAGTTCTGAATTATATGCAGTTTTCTTTCAAGAGTTCTGAACTATATTTGCTTGACTTACGTTTTGCAGGATGGAGGTCTGCTTCTGAATAACCCCTCAGCGTTAGCAATGCATGAATGTAAATGTCTCTGGCCAGAGGTCCCATTAGAGTGCATCGTGTCCCTGGGTACTGGGCGCTATGAGAGTGATGTGAGGAACAACGTGACCTACACCAGCTTGAAAACGAAGCTTTCGAATGTCATCAACAGTGCTACAGACACAGAAGGTGAGTCTGCTTGCTTCCAACCTTAAAGCACTTTATTTTTTTTTCTTTTTTTAAATTAGGTTTTATTTTTATTTGTATTTATTTATTTTTTGGTGGGACCCTCGCTGGCAGCCGGGGAACGAACCAGCACTGCAGAGGCTGCTGGCAGCCTCTCAGCCCAACGCTCAACCACTGCGCCACCAGGGGAGGCCCCTTTGAAGCACTTTAACGTCTAGAATTTATTTTAACTTTCTAGAGTTTTTGGTAGAGTGTGTTGTGTTTATTATGCAGGCTCAGGAAGGAGACGCACACGGAAGCAAGTCTTCCATTGTTTCCTTTTTTTCCCTCACCCATTTCTTTTAGTGAACCTAGACTAGAGACTGTTCTCCATCTGAGAGCTAGTCAGTGAAGTGAACTCTAAGATGAACTCTTAGAGGGTGAACTCTAAGATGCATGTCCCATCGTAATTTAAGAAACAGGGAAAAGAAAAGGAATCAGATTGGTTAAAATACATATGTGATAACAGTAAGAAAATTAAAAATATACTTAGGGAATTAGATAATTTAGTAACATGGACAACACCTGGATTTATACAAAGTCTCTGCTTCTGTCCTGTGCTCTTATAATCTAGTCTTCATATGAAGACCTAGGTGATCCTTTTAATTGTAAATAAAAAGTCATATATTTTCCCTGCCCAGACCTTCACAATTAGAAGCAAAATTCAGATGTCACACACACTGAAATTTACTGGGCCCTGTAACACCTAGCCTTCCCGCTCTGCCAGAATGTGCCCCTTGTGCAAAGTGTACTCAGCTGCATTTTAAATCTTGCTGTTCTTCATGCTAAGAACCTAAGAGGCCTCAGGGTCTCTGTGGTTACTACATTCTCTCTTTAAGCCCCCGCCCTCTGCCTTAGATATATGATTCTCTCCCTTAATTCAGGTCTCTGCTCAGGTGTCACTTCCTCAGAGTGACCTTTCCTGACCACTCTCCAACCCCCTCACCATCTCACTCTAATCCTGTATCCTGCTTTTCCCCCCTGCCTCTTAAAGCATTTATCTCATCTCCTTGTTAAAGTGCTTGTTTCTCTGTTCCACAAGAGCGTAAGACAGGTGCCTATCCAGTTCACTCAATGCCTGGCATATAAGGAGGAAGTCAGTGAGGATTTGTTGAATTTCTAGTTTTGACCTTGAGGTATAGATCTCCTTATTTTACCGTATTAACAATTTTTAGGTTCTATGTGAAATCTGTTAATAAATTTCTAAAAGGAGTTACTCCCACTTAATGACTTGCTTCTAAATTTAATTCTTCTAGTGTATCATCATGTTGTTGACCGAGCCATTAGCCTCTGTGAAGCTCCTCACTGAGGATTTTCTTAAATCTATTAATTGATAACATAAGAAAAGTTGATATAGTGGGTTTTTCACTATCTGAAAGTTTGTTTCCAGATCAATGAAATATTCTTACCATAAACCACCTGACGAGAAAAAGATAACTTTAATCAGTCGTTCTCATAATAATTAAATGTTTATCTCCTACAAACCATGTGATGCACTCATTTGAAATTTTTAAGAAGCATGCAATGGTCTCATAGTGTACTTACACTCTAGTTAATGAAGAGTTAGAGTGAAATATTTACACTAATTGATTCTAAATGGTTATTGACCTACAAAGACAGTTTTCTTTGGTTTCATTTAATATGTCATAAATTGCTAAATGGTGAATAGTTGTAGATGATTACCACTATGAATGAGGAAAAGGTGTGAGAAAACTAGATTGTTGTAGACAGTATACAAGAAGTAAATTTAACTTGACACAGTTCTTAAAGCATACATAGGGTTTGAACATTTGAAAAGGTTAAGACTTCCATTTCTGACCATGACAGGATAATAGGAACCATATATCTCTTCTCATTCTAAACAGTCAGTATAGTGGACAAAACAATGGCATGTCGATTAGAAATAAGGAAATAAAACTTTTTGTATTGCTTACATGGTTTTCTATGTTGACAATCCTAAGGGATCGAAAAATAAGCTAGAACTAATAAGTGAGTATAGCAAGTTGAAGCATGAATACAGGGTCAGTAAAACAGGTGTAATTTCTGCATACAATTGGAAATTGAAATTGAATATATACAAGTATAGATACTAGAACAGTGAAAGCTATACATACAGAGAGATATTTAAGGGCCTAAATAAATGAATAGATAATTACACCATGCTCTTTAATTGGAAATTTCTATATTGTTACAATAGCAGACCCCAAAATTGATCTATTAACTCCATACGATTGCTATAAAACACCGAATGAGTTTTTTTTCTGGGATAGAGATTCCCAGATGACTATAAATGCATATGGATATGAACAGGACTTAGCGTACTCTAACGGATTTTTAAAAGGAACCAAATTGGAGGACTTATACTCTGATTAAAAGACAGTAGAACTAGGGCCTCCCCAGTGGCGCAGCGGTTGAGCGCTGGGTTGCGAAGCTGCCCGCAGCAGCCTGTGCAGCGCCGGTTCAATCCCCGGCTGCTCCCTGGCCGCCGGAGGAGGGTCCCACATGGCGTGCAGACCTCTCCTGCTGCCCGCTGCTCCCCTCCGCAGTGTACTTCGGTCCTTCTGCCTGCTCTGCTCCCCGCTCTGGCTCTGGTGAATTTTCTCACCCTCCCGCGCTTCTGACTGTACCCAGTGCTTGTATAAATAAATAAATAAATAATTCTTTAAAAAAAAAAAAAAAAAAACAGTAGAACTATCGAAAGCATGGACTATAGTATTTGCATAAGATAGAAATCTGTATCAGTGGTACCTAATAAGAGTACAAAAACTGAACCATATATGTGAATTTGAAATATTTTTTTCTTTTTTGATTCTGCTTCAGACTTCTTTGTACAAATGGCACAGAAAAACGCTATTCAATAAGAAATGGATAGTCTTTTTCAACAGAAAAGATAGACTAGTGGGCAGTTAGATAACTGTATTCATAAAAATTGAAATTTGATCCTTCATACAGATATAAAAATTAACTTGCATTAGATTGTAGACCTAAGTATAAGTGCTAAATCTATAAAATTTCTAGAAGAATATCCTGCAGAAAATTTTAATGACTTCAGGTTGAGTAAAGATTCCTTAAAGAGGATTCAAAGTACATGAACCAAAAAAGGGAAAAAGAGAAATTAAACTTCACCAAATTATAAATTTTGCCCTTCAAAGGACAATTTCAATAAAATGAAAAGATAAAGACTGAGAGAAAACATTTATCAGAACCAAATATTAGATCCAAAATATGTAGAGAATTCTTACATATATAAAAAATAAAATAAGTAATTCAGTGGGAAAAATGGGCAAAATTTTGAACAGTAATTTCATTGAAGATTACAGGTGAGGATCAGCACAATTTCTGCACTGGCAAAAGGCAGCTTCTGCCCGCCTATGATTATGCAGGTACCTCTCTTTTTCTGGTTTTCCTAGTGAACCTGCCCTTTTAAAATGTTAAAAAAAAAAAAAAAGATTACAGGTGGCTAATAAGCACATGAAAGGCTATTCCACTTTATTGATCATTATAGAAATACAAATTAAATCCATGAACTGTAACTGTATACATCCTCTATAATGGTTAGTATTAAGTCTGGCAATACCAAGTTTTGGCAAATATGTGGAGAAGTGGCAGCGAGCTCTGCTACATTAATGATTGGAATGATAGATGATATAGCCATATGGAAAACAGAATGGTAGTACTTTAAAAGATAATCATATATTTTTATCGCATAACCAAGCATTTTAATCCCCAGGTAGTTATTCAATGGAAAGGAAATCATATGTCCACAAAAAGACTTAATTTGTGTAAAATACTTACAGCAGAATTATCCCTAGTAGCTGAAAACTGGAGAGAATGAGAACTGGAGAGACCAGATTGTATTGTTCCTGTACAATGGAAAAGTGCCCAATGATAAAGAGGAACAATTGATACGTGCTATAACATGGATGAATCGCAAAAGCATTTTGCTAAGTATAAGAAGCTAGACACAAAGAAGAGCTATATGCTTAGGATTTTGTTTACATGGAATTCTAGAAAAAGCAAAGGGTAAGGGGAGAACAATTATAAAAGACACATGAAGGAACTTTTGGGGGTGATGGCAATGCTCTGTCATGATTGTTGTGGTTATACACGTGTGTACTTTTGTCAAAACTTGTCTCGTTACTTGGAGAGATAAATTTCATTTTGTCATTGTAATTATGGATTCCTACCCCTATTAATTGGCTGAAGTGATGAAATGAGCTAAGTTTCGTAATTATCCCTAAAAGAAGAAATTTTTGAATAAAGATAAAATTAGATCATTGCCCAGTAACTCAGTTGTCTTCCACCCTAACCTCTCTTTGTTTATTTTAACAGAAGTCCATGTAATGCTTGATAGCCTATTACCGCCTGACACCTATTTTAGATTCAATCCTGTAATGTGTGAAAACATACCTCTCGATGAAAATCGAAACGAAAAGTTGGATCAGCTGCAGGTGGAAGGTATGAAGTACATAGAAAGAAATGAAGAAAAAATGGCAAAGCTTGCAAAAATCCTAAGTCAAGAAAAAACAACTCTGCAAAAATTTAATGATTGGATAAAACTGAAAACAGACATGTATGAAGGTCTTCCATTCTTTTCAAAATTGTGATGAGTGCATATAATATTGTCATAAATGAAGTACTGTTTATAAAAGCCACCAAATTAAATAACGAATTGTGGGGTTCCGCATGATTAATTGTGAAATACTTGGGAATTCTGGAAAAGACAGTGCTTGGATCAGCTTGCACATCACAAAAAAAGGTATCCTGGATTATAAAATTCTTACAGGAATTGGATTTTTATGACTAGGCTTTAGGAATTTTATTGTGCTAGTTGTTTTTAGTAGATATTGGTGTTATATTGTTTGATGTTTGAAAATTTGCTAATATATGTGCCAAACAAGACCTGAAAACTATCATATTATGCTTTGTATTTTTGCTTTATTCGCCATAATCATGTTGAAATTATTTGCTCATTGATTATCTTATGAAAATCCACCAGTGGAAAAGCTAATTTATTTTCAAATTTACATTGTTTATTTTTTTCACTAACTACACACAAATGTTACCTTTTACTGCAATATCTAAACGTATACAGAAAAGTGGAATTTTCTCTATCAGAGAACTTTTACATTTAAAATATGAAAGAACCAGATACAGTTTTCTATTCAAAATTTGCTTATTTCAGCATTGTTTGATTGAAAAGACTAGGTGAATTTCCAACCACATTTTCCTCCTGAAATTTCAAAATAATGTTGTATGTTAACTTTTCTAGCTCTAGCTTATCATTCACTGTTATAAAATTATTTGAATTTACTGTGAAAATACCCTATCATTAACAAAAATAAACTATTGAAATAATCTATTGTTAAAAGCTAATGTCATTTTTAAATTAACTACTGCTCACACTAATGTGGTTCCTCATCTTTTTGTAGCATTTGAATACATTTGTCAACAGTGCTTTTTTTTTTTTTAAAGATTTATTTATTTATTTTTTATGCATACAAGAGCTGGATGCAGGCCCGGGGAGGGGGTTAGTGAGAGGATTCACCAGAGATAGAGTGGGGAGCAGAACAGGCAGATGTACTGAAAGCCACTGCTAAGGGGAGCAGTGGGCGAGACAGGAGAGGTCTGCTGCACCATGTGAGTCAGCTCCCTGGCCGGGGATCAATGTCGTGCTGCAGTGGCTGCAGATAGCTTCATAGTGCTGCGACTTAACCCCTAGCTCCACCAAGGAGGCCCTCAACAGTATGCTTTAAAAAAAAAAAAAGATTGTTTTACCATATTAATTCCTTTAACTGTCTAGATTTCACAGAGGCTAATAACATTTACAACAACCTAATGCCAACCAAAATCATCTCTTTTGTGTTATATCTTTGTCATGTAAACTCTTACCATAATTAGATTTAGCAAGGAAAATGAAAAAAAAGGTAAGTGACCTAGGATTTGTACATACAAACTAAACCTTTGTAACACTGACTCATACAGGCAGTGAGGTATGTTTCTTAAAAGGACTGGAAGGCATTGAAATCTGGTACCTGATCTGGGATCCTAACTAACCTCCTGTAGCTGAGCTGGAGAAAAGCAGAGGACCTGTTCTCTGGGTATCACATGTTTCCACTGTAAAATGAAGACAGCTAGCTCTAAAATTTCATTTGCTCTTCATTTCTGGCAACCTGAAAAAGTAAATTCTGCAAATGTACAAAAGATAAGAAGTATAAAATTTCAGTTATATAAAGATAAAATACCTGATCTTTTCCAAGAAGCAGAGAAAATATAGTCTAATTTTAGAAATAAAATATAGTAGATTTTTCAACGCATTAATTATATAAAAAGTACAAAGAGAATAAAAATTGTTTTGATGCTCGGACTTTCTTGGGTGTCTCACAATTCTTATTTCTGTAATAAATGGCTCACTGGCAATAATTCAGTTCTGGTTTTACAGTAGATACTATTCTTTATTGAGGTAATAACATTGAATTATGACACTGTATATGATTCAGAGCGATATGTTCTCCCTTTGTTTAAAAATAGTATCTCAAATGGACCTGTCCCTAGAAGCATTTCCTGTGCAGGGTGAAAAGAGCATGCCTGGGACATAACGATGCTGTGTGATGCATCTTCTCCCCCCCACACCAACTCTATCCAGAAGAAAGTACCTGTCAGAGGAATCTGCTGAGAGGAAAGGAATTAAGAAAAGGTCAGCATTCAGTCTGGGAGAGGGGTAGATTGAGGAGAACCTTACAACTTTATCAATAGATGGACGTGATCCCTTAGAATTGTGTTCCACCCCAGCAGCTCACAGCTGCCTCCCCTTTTCAGTTGTTACAGAACTGATCATTATTGAACTAGGAGCCCTAAAGTTCAAAGCTCAAAATTTTGCCTTACTTGCTATGCTCTAGAAATAGTCCTAGTCAGTTTTGAGTATTTCACAAGCAGCAATGCTAGTCATATGACTTTAAATAGATTTGTAACATACACATTACAGTTTTTAGTGTAAGGAAATAATTCTAAAGATATTGTAAAATACTATTTCAAGACCACAAATTTTGCATATACACATGCAATTAGAACTTGTAAACAAATGTAAGAATAATACAGAGTAACTGAAAATCAGGATATTTCTGTGTATTCTTTGTAATAATGCAAATTTCAAGTATAGTACAGTAATACTTAATGCAGTTTATATACTTGCACCTTATGTAAGGTTGCTTTTGACCTAATAGGATTCATTTCACCCATTTTACAGCCCAAGTTAATTTTCTGTCTTGCATTTTTGCTTGGCCACTTATTTCTCTTGAATAATACAATATACAGATATACTCTGGCCTGAGCTTCTTAACTACATGGTATCTAAGTATGTTTCCATCTCCCTGCCCTTGTTTCTTCAGCTCTTTTCAGTCTCCAACAAAAAGTACACCCAGTTGTGTGGTGTCCAATTTTCAATTATTATTCTCCCCGTTTGTACCTGAAACTGGTTATCTGAAGAAGTGTGTAATTCTGCACATTACATTATAAAATATAATTCTACATTTTATAATAAGGCCTGTGCTTTCCTTTGCCCAAAGGCAGAGTAGGTTTCTTTTTTTAAGATTTATTTATTTATTATTTATATACAAGCACTGGGTACGGTCAGAAGCACGGGAGGGTGAGAGAACTCACCACAGAGCCAGAGGAGGGAGCAGATTAGGCAGAAGGACCGAAGCACACTGCTGAGGGGAGCGGCAGGCGGCAGGAGAGGTCTGCACCCGTGGCCGGAGAGCAGTTGGGGATCGAATTGGCCCGAGAGTAGGTTTCTTTTCAGGAAAGAATAGAAGTAAAGAACACTTTTCTGAAAGAGGAACACTCATACCAACTAAGTTATGGATACTCCTTTAGGCTGTTTTTCAAGTAGGATAAGTTCTTTTGTGAGAAAAAAATTTAAAGACAGATAAATGGCCTACTTAGTTTCCATCCAATTTTTTTTTAAAATTGGATGGAATAAAATAAAATAAAATAAAAATAAATAAAATAAAATTAAAATAAAATAAAAATAAACAATGATCAGATAAGTTAAAAAAAGTTTATCCATCAAAAAAAAAATTAGGATATTCTTTCAAATAGGATATTCTTAGAGAAGGAATAAAAAAATCCTGGCCAACCTTGAACTGAGTGGAAGACATCATTTGAGGACCTGCTTTTGTTATACATTGTTTTGCTTTAAGTCACAGTTTTCCAAGAATCTGTTGATTGTGTTAAGTGAGGACTTAATATATTATTTTGAAAAATCTGATTGAAAAAACAAAATTTATCCATTCTCCATTTCATTACTACTTAAAGTAACTTTGAAGCTGATTAAATTGTGGCTCCATTTCTACATTAAGGGGAATTTCATAGCTATTGAAGTAAAGAAACACCTGTTTTTATAGAGGAAACTGGAATACTTTTATGACTGTTAATAGCTAATATCTAGCACTTACATACCAACCATTATACTGAAAACTGTCCATTTTCTCATTAGGTCTAATAATATCCCTGTGAAGGAGGTGATATTATTATTCCTATTGTCCAGCTAAGGAAACCCAGGCTATAGGAAATTAAATAATAGTGTGATAAAGAAGAAAGTAACATAGTTTAAGCTTTTACTTTTTTCTCTCCCAGTTAGATAAATTCAATTGTTCGTTATTCATTGAACGAGTATCTGTTCACTGCCACCTTTATTCCAGGACTGACTCTACCCTGTGCCTGTATTTCACCATCAACTCCTATTTATTTTGAAATGTCTTTTTTACAGCTTTATTGAAGAATAATTTCCAAAAAGACATCCATTATAACAGTGAAATTCATTATTTTTTAGTAAATTTATAGAGTTGTACAATCATTACCATAATCCAGATTTACAGCAACTCTATCATCTAGTTCTCTTATGTGCCTTTGTAATTTTTTGCTCCTGTCCCTGGCACCGGACAATTACTGATGCTGCTTTTTACCTGTGTAGATTTGCCATTTTTGGATATTTCATATAAATGAAATCATAGAGTATCTAATTTTTTGCATCAGGTTTCTTTCATTAAGCATGTTTTTGAGATTTTTCCAGGCTACACATAAACCAGTAGTTGCTGAGTAGTAATCCATTGTATGGTGGTACCATGTTTTGTTTATCCCTTCACAGGCTGATGACCACTTGAATTGTTTTCTATATTTACATATGGTTAATAATGCTGCTATAACCTGTGTTTTCATTTCTCTGGAGTAGAATTGCTGAAGTTATGTGATAGGTATGTGTTTAACGTTTTCCTAAGTGTATATACTGTTTTACATTCTCATCAACAGTGTATGTAAGTTCAGTTTCTCCACATCATCCTAGCCCTGGATATTGCTTGTCTGATTATAACCCTCCTAGCATATATGTCATGGCATGTCGTTGTGGTTTTAATTTGCAGTCCCCTACTGACTATTCATGTTGAGGATCTTTTCAAGTCCTTATTAGCTCTTTGTGTAGCTTCTTTGGTGAAATATCCATTCATATCTTTTACCAATTTTAAAAGTCAGTTTATTTGTCTTCCTATTATTGAATTGCTACAGGTATTTATATATATATATTCTGGATACAAGTCTTGTTAGATAGATGATTTTGCAACTATTTTCTTCCAGTTTATGGCTTGCCTTTTCATTTTCCTAATGGTGTCTTTTAAAGAAAACACAAGTTTGTAATTTTGATGGTCAGTTTACCAGTTCTTTTGAGTCAAGTGGATAGTCTGAGGAAAGGTCAACATTTATTATCAATTTTTTACATAGGGAATCCAGTTGTCCCTGCATCATTTGTTGGGGAAAAAAAATCTTAACCACTGAATTGCCTTTGTACTTTTGTCAAAAATTCTGTTGTGTTTATATTTGTGAGTCTATTTCTGGACTCTGCTCTTTGGCATTGATATATTTGTTAATTCTATGCCACTCCACACCATCCTGGTTGTGAAATCAGATACCACAATTCTTCCAACTTGTTCCTGTTCAAAATTATTTTGGCTCTTCTGGGTCCTTTGCATTTCCATATGAATTTTAGAGTCATTTTGACAGTTTATACACATCCTGAAATTCTGATAGGGATTGCATTGACTGTACAGTTAAATTTGAGAGAACTGGCATATAAGCAATGTTGAATCTTTAAATGGTGTCCTTTAAAGCATATACAGTGAATTTGATTTTCTATATTAGATCTTTCAATTTTTCCCCAGGAGTGTTTTATAGTTTTAATGTATAAGTCATGTGCTCCTCTTGTAATATACATTTCTAGGTATTAATCATTGTGATGCAGTTATGAATGGAATCTAAAAAAATTTATTTCTTCACTAGTCTATAGAATTGTATACATATAA